ACAGTTTATACGACCAGTATTGGAAATGATGCAAGGTTGAGCTATGTAGCATACGAATTGTACAATGCTGAAATTTTGAAATAATGAAAGCAATCTATAAAAAGGAAAACCAATGCTAAACAGAAAACTCAACCTATGAAAAAGTGCATTGCAGAGAGACATTACAGTCAGTTGCAAGTAGTGCACCAGAGCTGACCTATTTTCAAGATCATTAACTGTATTTTGAAGTCTTCCATCAGGATGAATAGTGGCTCATTTTCTTCTAGGGCTTGGCTCTCTGTGGAGAATATGTTCACATTTACTTTGTCCACTGAGACTCACATGCTAATCTCTCCTGGTCACTCCCTCATAGTCACACCGGAAATAATGCTTTATCAGTTTCTAGGTATCCATCCTTTTAACAGGGTACAACTGTTCTGTGAAACTTGCGGGCAGAATTTACAGTGTGGAAAGGGGGGTCTTCCCGTCCTGGGCTCCCTGAGCAAGACAAAGCTGGTGGGGTAAAAGTCTCAGCACTGACAGTTCGTATCCACTGTTCATTCTATTTATGGTTTCTCAAATAACGCAGAGGCAATCTACAGTCTCTTCCCTTAAATATAATCCTACCTCTGATGCCCTCCTCCCCTTCTCTGGGACATTACCTCAGGGAAATTTATATTGATTGTGTTTTACAGGACAGGAAGAAGTAAGGAAGTTGTGTCAGACCAAAGTGGCAGGAAATCAATACAAAAATCAAGGAAAGTTGGAAGAGGCCTCTGCATTCATCCCAACCAGCTTTTCACACAGTGCTGGTTCCTACCTGGACGGGTGCTGGTCTGTCTGCCTAAAATCAAACAATCCTTGCTCCCAGATAGAGCCCCACTCTATTGCTGGATAACTCCAATTCTTACAATTATTTTTCACATGCCAGGTTTTAAAATGTGCTCTTAGTAACTTGCCTTAATTAATTAGTTCTACTTTGTTCTCAATAGCTGCGTAGAATAAGTCCAGTCATTGATTGACTGGTCGGTACGTTCATTTATTTATTCACTTGGTACTGAATGCCTACCATATACAATAAAGCCTCAGTCTCCAGGAGCTGCCAGATCAGTAGATGATAACACGGACATAGGTGCTGTGTTGTACACGCCATGTAAGCAGTATAGATTCAGTGCTACAAGAATGAGGAAAGGCATGGAAGGACAGAGTCTAGCAGTCCTATAGGTACGGTCAGTGCTACAGTCTGAAAGTTTGTCTCCAACTATATGTTGAAATCGTAGTCTCCGCACAGTGGGTGATATTTGGAAATGAAGATATTTAGGAAGTAAGGAGGTGAGGAGGAACAGCGTCTGCTATAACTGACGCACCTGAGACTGCTCCCTGGAGACAGGCTTTCGCGAGGAGAAAAAAAAGTTTATTTCCATGAACAGAGACTAAAATCCAAGGACTAAAATGAGGGTAGATTTTTTAGCAGCTAGCTGGGAAAAGCCGAATTTATTACATCTGTATGTGAATGGGCTAACCTTGGGAAAGAGAAATAGCAGCTAGCTAGGAATGACTTCATCTGTGGGTGGATGGGCTAACATTGAGAGAGAGAGAGATTGACATTAGCAGCTAACCGGGAAAGGAGTCAGGCTTATTTAAGGCCTAAGGAATCTAAGGTGAAATGTTTATGATCGAGTCCAAGGACAGTCTGCACAGGTGTGTGGACAATCACTGGACTTTTTGAAGCCAGGGAGATTGTCTTCTGTTTACTGAGAAATAGCTTGTCCTTGGCTGAAAGGAGGTTGTATGCTTTGTTCTGTTTGTTTGTGAAAACTCACGTAGGTTAGCCATGACCATGTCCATAAAAAAGAGGCCGCTAGGGTGCCCCTTCCCTCCATCACATGAGGTTATGGCAAAAACCCATACGGGAAGCTGGTCTTCACCAGACACTAAGTCTCCTGGCACCTTGACCGTGGGCTCGGCCTCCAGAATAAGATTCTGTGATTTATAAGCTACCTAGTTGATGGTATTTTTGTTGTAGCATCCCAAATGAACTTACAAAATCAGCAAACTCGTAATGGAGGAAGTTGCCTCTAAACCTCTTATCTTTCATGACTTAGAATTGGACAGCAGATATGTGGGTGTGAAGACTGACATGACAGCGTGTTGGGGAAGTGAGGAGTAGTTTACACTAATTAGAGCCTAGTGTGTGAACTGGAGAGTGAAAGAACGGGCTAGACAAGGTTGGACAAGCATATGTGAGACACAGGGTTTTGTGTGTCTGGAGTGGAGGGTTAGTCCAGGGAGCAGCGGAGACTGCTTGTGGTGCAGGCAGGATTCAGTCTGCCTGGAGTGCTGAGCTGCAGAGATTCAGGGTCATGCAGGAAGGTAGGGCACTGCCCTGGGGCTGGTGCTGAGCAAGTGAGACCTGTGTGATCACTCCCGAGGCAGGGGACACAGGCTGGAAGGAAATGCAGCACACCAGGTATGGGAGAAAATAGCTGGGAGCCCTGTGGCCGCCCCTGCCATAGAAGCTGGGTGGTCATGAGCCCCGGACATCCTGGAGGCAGCCCTGGGAGCCGCCTTCTGGGTCTTCCTCTCCAGCGGAGCATTCCTTTTCCCACTCCCATACCTTCAGATGCTTGAGATCAGCAGACAAACCCACCCCGATTACATCTGTGGGCGGTTCTGAGTAATCTGTGACAGAGACTGTTAGGGTCCACATGTCTGTAATGAAACATTTCTGTGCCTCCAGTGAGTCCTGCGAGTAGCTTGGGCCCATGTAGAGAAAGAAGTTCTAAGAACCCGTTAGGATAAAAGTGTGCACTCATGGGTTGAAGTGTAATAAGCTCTTCTTTGGGTGATCTGCGTATTCTTAGGCAAAATGGCCCACCATTGTTGTTACTTGTGTTTCTGCTGAGCTATGTTGAGGTCCGACTTGAAAAGAGGGGGGCTGGTACAAGCCAAGGAGATGCAATTCAAAGCCTTGCTGAAATGTACAGATTTGAGCTTGTCTGTTGCTCACACATTGGTGGATAAACTGATTCTCACTAGTAATTTGGGGAACTCTTCCGTCTTATTTTCTCACATAAACCTGAATTTTTGTACCTCATTTTAAACTTCATTATTAATGTTTATTGAGTGCCTATGATGCATGAAGATTGGTTGCTTGCTGGGCTAAAGTAGTGAACAAAATAGTCAAAGGTTCCTGTCCTCATGGAGCATAACCAGCTAAAAGAGACAGTCAGTAAGTAACCAATACATGAGGAGTTCGAAGGAGATGAGTGATGTAGGAAAAAGGAAAAGAGGAGCGTGGAAGGGAACGGGATTCCTGGAGTGGGGAGGTGAGCAGGTTGCCATCTGAGGGAGTCGTCAGGATCCTGTTCCCTAAAGAGCTGGCATTTGAGCAAGGACCGGGAGGGGAGGGAAGGGAATCAGGTGTGCAGGTATCTAGAGGATGAAGGTTCCAAGGAAAGAAACCAGCAGCAGTGCTGAGATGGAGAGCACAAGTGGGGGAGAGATTTTGTGCTTTTCCGTCCACCGTGGACGTATTGGAGTGTTGCAACCGAGGAGCGAGGAAAAGACTAAAGTCAAGTGTATTTGCGTAAATGATAAAACAGAATTACTTAGGAAAAAAGCCTTCTAAATGTATTTAAGGCAATGCAAAGGGAGTTAGGGGAAATCTCCTGGCTCATAGGCTTTTTAGATTTGGTCCTGGCTCCACCACTTACTGCCTGTGAGATCTTATGTGACTTATTTAACCTGGTTCTTGGTTTTCACACCTCTAAAATGAGCCTAACAAGTACCAACCTTGTGGGATTATTTCAACGAATAAATGAGTCACTGTACATGAAAAGCTTGGAACTTTGTCTGACACACCAATAACTCAAACTCTGGCTATTGATATTATTGTTACCTCTAGTATTTAGGTTACTACTATTATTTAGGTTACATTAGGTGCCTTAGTCTTGTATATTCTTCAGGTATGTCTTAAGGGTTTTTATATTGTGCATGTTGTGTGTGTGTTTATGCATTTGTATGATATGTTTTTATGTGAGGTATTGAGAGTATAAGGCTATATGTAAAAATTTTTCTCCTTAGCACAGTAAATCCTCAGTAAATGTTGGTTTTCTTCTTTTCTGGCAGCATTTTACAGCAAAGAAAAGCAATGGCAGGCTTTCTCTTGCTACACACTATCAATGCAGGGGTTTTTTTTGTCTGTTTTGTTTGTGGGTTTTTTTTTTTTTTTTTTTTGGCTGCAGTGAATGACAGGTGAAATGTTCTACAGACTCAAACTTGGAAACTCATTTTGCCCATAGCACCACCAGTAGAAGAGAGGGATTCCCAGTAGGGTAACTTGAATATCACTAGAAAGCAAAGAATTATCAGCAGAGGAATGAACAAGGAGGGAAGCAAATGAAGGGGGAAAATGAACCAGTAGGAAGACACACCATGAAGACACACCACTTTGGGAAGTGGCCTCAGACTAGGAATCCCTTTTCCCTCAGGAATTTAGAAAAGAAAATGGGTGGGGTCCGTCTAAAAGGAGCAAGAGTCATGAGTGAACAGGCTGACCAGAGCAACTTCTGGAGGCCTCCCTCAGCTCTGCAGTTCTCCAGGAGCAGCTCCTCACTGGCCCTTACCCTACTGCTACACTTGCAAACTTTGTTAGCCTACATTTCCATCTCTGCCTAAAAGCTATTATGACTTAAGTGCGAAGAGAGTTTCTTTTTAATGCTATGGAGTCAAAGTCACTGTGTATGCAGTTAGTAGATGTTGAAAATCAGCTTTCTAGTCCTGTGGGATCTGTCTCCAGCATACTTGGTAGCTTTTGTGAGCCACTGGGTCTGCTAACTGGAAAAGACCAGAGCTATAGAACCTTAGGGAGTCATGGGAAATTAGCACACCCATGCTCCAAAGGTACTTCGAGGTCTTAGGAGGAGGGAGGGATACTACGTCCCCAGGAGACGTGGCTGGCGGATGGCTTAGGTTACAGCCAGGTGCCCACTCACAGTCTGCTGCTGTTTGATTGGCAGGTGCAGCTGCTCTCGCCAGTGGTCTGGATCATTCCTTCTTGACAACACCAGAAGATGCAGAAGGAGCATGTTATACATCGCTGATTTCCAACATCTGTTACTCACCTCAAGAGGAGTCTACATATTTCACTGGGATTCTTCAGAAGGACAATGGTCACATCACTACTTCTGAGAGCCCTGAGGAGTTGGGGACCCCTGGACCGTCCTTACCAGAGGCGCCTGGCATGGAGTCTCGTGGCTTATTTAGTTCTGATTCTGGAATAGAGATGACTCCTGCAGAGTCCACTGACGTGAACATGATCCTAGCAGACCCTCTGGGCCAGATGAAGGCAGAAGCCTGCAAGTACATTGACATCACCAGGCCAGAGGAGGTGAAATGTCAAGGGCAACGTCTCCCTGACTTGGAGGATAAAGACTTGGACTTTAAAAGCAAGGACACTGAAATCTCAATAAAACCGGGAGGCGTCCGTGAACCTGACACACCAGCTCCTGTGGAGGGGAAAGTCATCAAGGACCACTTGTTTGAAGAATCCACCTTTGCTCCTCACACAGATGACTTCTCTGAGGAGCAGCATACTCCCCTGGTGACAGCCCCCATCAGAATCACGCTGACTGAGACTGAGCCTGCTGTCACGACTTACATCCAAGACAAGACCCCAGAGAAGCAGGACGTCTGTCTGAAGCCAAGTCCTGACATGGTCCCCACTGTCACTGTCTCAGAGCCTGAAGATGATAGTCCAGAATCTGTCACTCCTCCTTCTTCTAGTACAGGTAAAGGCGCTGGGATTCCCTGCCCTGAGCTCCAAAGTACTCACCTGGAGTAGAGACTCGTATCTAAAGTATTTGACTTTGTGGGCCCCTCAGCTTCCCTTAGTTTTAGCATGTCACCTTTTCAGGTTTGTGTCCACCACAGAAAGGTTGAGATCCAGTATTGGCCCTAAAGTCCTGTCACATTGTCCTTGTACAATCTTTCTTCATCAGAGGGGGAAGCAAACATTAACACACACACACACACACACACACACACACACACACACACACACACACACACACA